AACGCAATGTGCAGCAGTAAGGACGTATCTGTCATTGATAACCGTACCCCCGCAGTAGAACTTGTTGAAATAGGCGAGGCGAGCTACCCATGGGAATTCATTAATATTTGTCTCCTCGCCTCCAACAATTCGTGATGCCTCATTGCGTTCGCCACAACCTTAAAAATATAGTCATTTAGTACAAACATAGTATTTTAGATAAAGATAAAATACCTGGATGACCGAGCTTTGCTCGGTTTTTTTTTTTTAATTTACATTTAGATACAAATTACGTACTGATGAAAAATGAATAATATTTTTTGATCTTATTGACATAATAGAAAAAACTGAACTGGTTATTTGAATAAAAAATCATGAGTCAATCGATTACTTTAATTAAAATTTTCGTATTTTTAAAAAATACTAAAAAAAGGCTCGAAATAATAAATTTTCAAGAATAGAATTTTAGAAACACGGCAAAAAGACATTTTATAAAAATAAATCCTAGTTAGTTGATTTATTGTCCCCGAAACTCCCTGGACACAAAATTTTATGAAAATCGTTGGAGCCGTTTCCGAGATTCCAATTATATGTATATGTATATATATATATATATATATATATATATATATATATATATATATATAAGAATTACTCGTTTAAAGGTATAGGATAGAACAGGATCTCTGATGTGAAACTAAGATGATGTCAAATATGCATAAATAAATTTAACACATTCCTCTATTCAGTGCTTTGAAGCACGGAATAAAGGTATGTGTAGGTCATAATCCAATATTCTATTAGAAAATTACTTCACTCTAAAAATTAGAACTTAAATTATTTATATAAGTTTTAAATATGTATAAATCCAAAGTATTATTAATCATTACATTCCTAATGTGGCAAAAATTCCATGACCAATGACATTTAAAATACTTAAAATATACCTTCAAATTAGATACTTCCTGCTTATTTGTAGGGTTTATAATATTTTTCTGTATTTTTTTAATTATTACAATAAATATTGCATGTTAATTGGAGTTAATAAAGTTTTATAGTTTAACCCGTCGAAAAATTGAATATTAATGGCATAAATAAGATTTACTTACGGCAATTGCATCCATATTTCTCGTCGTATCGATCGTCTTCGGTTGCCCTTGTTCGGACCTCTGTTTTTACCTTTATTAATACAAGTTTTTTAAAACCAGTTCGTATCATACCTGACTTAAATTATTACTATAAATTAAAACCTTAATTTCTCATTTTTATTCTTAAAATTTTATGTGACCGCTAACTTGTTGTTTTTTTTTTAATTTATTACTTTTGCTTTAAAGACGAAATTAATTTCCAGTATTGTAATGTATTCCAGTATCTAATATAAGCATATTTATTATTTTTTAAGCTGTTACTTATGTAATGAACGTTGCTGTTCATTGGTACCTGCTAAAATAACTGAAGAAAACACTACATTATAAAATGATTATAAAACAACTTACCAAATAATTACTTAACAAAACACATACAATAATCACGATTGGAAACTTCCGCATATTAAATAATTAACACATCAACTTATTATATTTGGACAAATTTTCTGTATGTATCTTACAGCAAAGCTTAGTTTTCTAAAGAGCGCTTCATATGTGCGGTTCAACGGGAACCGGAGAACAGGAATGAGGACGATGCACCCGCAGTTCTATACCTTTACATGTCTATTAGTGAATACCTGTACTAGCCTACCTCACTCACTTACTTTGCAAGAAATTGCCTGGAGCTGGGACCTGCAGACAACAACAAGTACCAAAAAGCAAATTATCTTATTTCAAAATTTTTCCTCTGTGTTCATTAAAAATTAAAATAAAAAAGTTTAGAAAAGATCCTAAAAGGAAAGACGACGCGCCGGAGATGTATATATTTATATACATGAACTATTTCAAACACTTTCGAATCTTCCCACGTCGTATACCTACTTCAACTACAGACCTACAACTGTTAAGCCTAAAATTCTAAATTTCATGAATTAATTTAATATAGTTCATTCGTTAATTTACTTATTCACTGATTGTTATCAAAAACCTAGGCCATTTCTTAGGAACACAGAACCTAAAAACTTTGCATCAAAGATCATTAGGCAAATATAAAAAGAAAATAACCTAAAAACTACCTCGAAATTCGAACTGTACAAGGTAGACTATACAGACTATACTTCCTCGGGGAACTTATATTGGGTAGTGGATTACGATCCATTGTCATCTAAGCAGGGACAAAAGTGACCCACCTTTTCTATATGGATGATCTCAAGTTATTCGCCTTCAGTCGCTCCCATCTTATGGAATTGCTAAACATCACTTTTAGTAGTTTAGCAATTAAAATGGAGCTGTGGAAGGATAGGTTTGCGGTCCTCCGTGTCGCAAGCCGTAGTGTTACTAACTCTGAGGGTATAGACTTATCTATGCCCATCAACATCAGGACCCTTTTCGAGGCTGAAACATATATATGTATGTATGTATGTATATATATGTATATATATACCGATACCTGGGTATGTCACAAAATAAAGGCATTGATGACGCAGATATGAAAGAATCAGCGATCTGTGTTTTTGCACGCTTGATAAAAGTGCATAACAGATTCTTGTTGAGTGTGAATAAGGCAGGCGCATATAACTTATTGAGTTTGAGTTGAGTCATGCCCATTCTCATGTACGAGTATACCTTTGGCATACTAAAGTTTGGTGTACTTAGATAAAATTCAACGCCCTGGATAGAACAGTAAGCATTGTTATCGCAAGTACAGCCTCATGACGTCTGTAATGAGGCTGTATTTGCTGCAATGCATGGTGTGTAATACAAACGTAATTACTTCATGGTGAGATCGGATGATCCATTCTACACGGACGTCATTTCGTGGGATAAGTGCTTACCCCTCTATCCTTGCCAACGAGCATTAGTAAGACCCGATAGAACAGAGCATTTCCGACTGTGAAACCGTATGGAAGGAGAAGGAGCTCCACCGGAGGTTCTCTAAGGCTCTACATGAGACTTTTATAGACACAATAATTCTCTCCACTGGCTACGCTTTGGTAAACTTTTGGAGAAACCGAAGACATATGTCAAGCTTGTCGTCATCCCGGTGAAACACTTAAACATGTCATCTCCGGTTGTTCGGCGCTTTCTAACTCTGAGTACTTGCATAGACACAACCTTGTACCCAGGATCCTATACTAGGAGCTCGCCCTAAATTACGGTCTCGTGAATCGGAAACTGCCTTATTATAAGTACTTGCCGGAAGCCGTGCTCGAAAATGACCGAGCTAGGCCCTACTGCGACCGGGCCATCATCACAGACAAGACTATTTTTGCAAGTAAGCCTGATATTGTGATATTGGACCGGACACGGTCAAGGATATTTCTTGTCGACATTACCATTCTGCGAACCTTGTGAAAGCCGAAACAGATAAGCGTACGAAATATCTAGACTTGGCTGACGAGGTGACCGACATGTGGGGGTGGTTTGCCGACCGAATTTTTAAGCTATTGCATAGCTTCTATCGCGGGCCTTGAGCGCGGGGACCGAATCCAGAAATTCCGTAACGAAAAAACCTCACGCTCTCCACTCCGACGGGCACGGAGGTGTGGCGTTGAAAGCCGTGCATCGTCTAACGTCGTTTCAGTTCGGCAGACTTCGGCACTCGGCAGACTTCGGCACGGTTTTTGTGTGTGCGACTAGACGTATGCGTGTACACTAGCTGCTAACTCAATGATAAAAATTCCTGAATAACCTACATGTATTGTAAGATATTAAAAATATTTTAAACAATATTAACTTCTCATTTATTCAATAAGAGAAAAAAAATTGTTTTCTTATCGGTCACCACGCTAAAAAAGTGTAACTTGATTTAATATCAAAGACTTAACTGCATAAATAAAATAAATAAATAATTATAATTGCGTAAGTTGATAAAAAATGCTATGCAATAGCTTTACCGCGGCAGTCACCGAGTGCCACACGTTTTTTTTATAGCTGTGTGTAACAAACGAACACACGCTCCATCTGATGGTAAGTGGATGCTGTGGCCCATAGACATTCACATTTATCCTCAATTAAGAATCAAAATGGAAATGCGTTATCACTCCTGAGAACTAAGATGGAATGCCTCGAATCCAGTAAAAAGAGTCTTCGGTTCTCTACACTCACCATACAAAATACAGCACCGAATACCAGTGTAAAATAGCAGCGTAATGCTGCTATTTTACACTGGTATTCGGTGAATCTGGTGCTAGCCTGATCGAGTCAACCCATTCGTGCTACAACTGTAATATAGCTACAGCGTGGCTCTACGGTCAGCCTCTCGGGTCATCTGAGGCGGCTAGCTCCGTGACGGATCACCCCGGCGTCAAATGCTGAAGGCTGTGCTCCTCGATACCGCCCTCATTTTCCACCGGTTTTTTCCCTTTCCTCCTAACCCTCGGCCGTTTGGTCTCCCTACCGAGGGCTTCCACCTGGTTAGGTTTTATTTATTTATGTATTTTTAATTTATACGCTTTATTATAATTTTAATGTTTATTTATATTAAATTTTATATATTTATGCAACCCAGATGAAAAAAATAAATATATAAATACTGTGAATTGCAGGTGTCTGTACATTGAACATTTTTTGGACAAAAATGATTACGAGGAACTAAAAATAAGTAATTAAATACATTTCTGTTACTTCTAGAGTTGTCTGTCTGTCTGTTTATTTATGAACACATCATATTTTCTAAATAATCGTTACTAAAATAATATATATGTAATAATCTATGGCACACCGAATTTAGGTTAGATTGCATTTAACGAAAAATATTACGAATTTTTCTTGAAAATAACAGCTCAAATATACAAAATGAAAAACATAATATTTCAAACCTAATTTATTGTTAAATGAGTTGTGACACAATACTTGTAAAGTTGCCTATGATAACCCATTAAGCGAGGTATATATAATAACGCATTAATAGTAAAGAATTTCCACGTCGACTTAGTATGCGCAGTAACATGCATCTTCGGTGTTATCTCTTATCCAGTCCATGTATCTATTGACTCTGGTATATACTCCTGGGAAGCCTTTCCTAGCGCATCCATAACCCCATGACACAATTCCTGAAAGTAAAACACATTATATATATAAAACAAACTTTCAAGTGTTTAAGCAATTTTTTGGTTTGACTTGGAACGAGTGCAAATTTCAGAATTATAGAAACACAATTATTCAACTATGTATTATTGTTATAGAACAAAGACAAATAATAGGTAATGAATATATGATTCCCTAGAGGTAGATATTGACATCCGCTTCTTATAGGTAAGAATATTACCTAATTCCTAGAAATACATGCGGAATCCGTAAAGCAAAGATAAAACCTACTATTTATTTTAGTTTTCGAGACAAGCGAGTTTAGTTAGGGCTGTTAAATTCGAATCCGATGTATCACTTCACAATATTTATATATAACACTTATACTCCATAGGTCTGATGGAAAATAAAAAAGTGTGCAGACCTTGTTTCATTTACCACAAAGAAAAAATGTAAATAATGAATGTCAACAACTAAGTTAACACTGCAATTAAGGCATAAAGTTTTTATAATTAGGCCTTTTTAAAAATAAAATATTTTTATATTTACTTTTTACACTTTACAGTGCATATGACTGTTTTAAATCACGATAAAAACTTTCTTTACACACATGTAAGAAAGAAACTAAGAGAGCTATAAAACCGTAAAATATCAACAGAAATCAGTCACCCATAATTTGAAAGCGTATCACATTTAATAATTTTCCGGTGAAAAACCATCTAATTTAATGAATTAAAAAATTATATTCTAGTCTACCCTCAAATATATAGAAATGGAACTGCGCAAGGCCGAATTTATCTATACTAAGTTCCTTCGTAAAATTGTCTAATGAAAAATTTTGTAAAGAGTTAAAAAACTGTATACGAAAAAGCAAATATGTCAATGTTCAACGCTAAGTAAGCGATTCTAGTTACTATTAAAACTGTTACTACGGAAGTAGAAAATGCAGAAAAAGCTCCCAAGTTCCTTTTGCCTGATAATAATTTATTTTTCTAGGTTATTGGAATATTTTTCTGCTTAAGGTCCCGCCTGGGCAGGTGCTATCCTGTTTACTATTTATGATATTAAACAGCATTTCCTGGTCTACTTTAATGTAAATAAATATTATTCGAACATTGATGCGAATGTAATAATTACAAAGGATAAAAGAGATTACAAAGGTGTGGGTCTGGTTATATACTATATAATTGTTAAAACATAATTATGACGCTCTCACTTTTTACCCGATTGCCCTAGAAGGAGAGTTATGTTTTTCGAGATTATGTAAGTAGGATATGTCTTTTTATTTAGCATGCTCTAAAGCCTAAGCGGTTTGATGAATGGACTTGTTGGAGAAGTTGTGCAGAAAATAAGATAATTCAAAGTAAATATAAAGAAATAATTTACATTATAGCCCACAGCTAAAAAATATCTCTTTTTAATTCTAAGCTAAGCAAAAAAGAATTCGCTGCGCTTTTCTACTAGAGTAAAAGGACTTTACAAATCCTCGAAATACGTACCTCTATAAACAAGCAGGTTTTCTCATCTTGTGATACCACGTAGCATAAATCGCTTATTATAAATGTGAATGTCCCAGTCTATTATCTACTTAAGCGTGAAACATGAATATTTACAATAGAACATTTAAATCTTGATTATATATACAAAGTAACGTTTGTGTTTTCAACATATTTAAATATATGTACGAAACAAATAAGTCACTAATGCCGATATAGAAAATCCTTTTATTTAAAATTCTTACCTATACCTATTTTAAGTTCTTACCTATTAGTTCATACGCATGTTCCTCGTTTTCAGCTACCAAGGGTCCACCACTGTCTCCCTGTGAAATCATAATATAATAATTAATAATCAGTGTTTATATAAAATTTAAAGCGGTAAAAACCTGATATTTTCATTTTAGTTTTAACGGCGCACAAAAAAACGATAAAAAAATTTAATATATTGTTACAATATGGTAACCAACGCGCACGGTAAAAATAAAATTTATAGCCGAATCCAATTTGTATTGCACGTGTATCAATTTAGTATAATGGATGATTTATTGGTTCCTAAAACAACTTGTCACGCACAATAACCGTAACGGTATATCTACGGTAGTGTATTAAAATTATGAGATATACTTAGAACGAGGTTAAATATTTTCATTTATAATAGGAAACTAGTTGTGTCCGCAATTTCTATCGCGTGGAATTAATACCTACATTTGTTATGAAAATGATTATAATATATTTGTACTTTTTACTGTCGCGTAGACATAGAACGATATTAGGATAAAAACATTCAGTTAGTTAGCCAATCAGACAAAACTAACGAAGGAACAAAACTCAATCCAATGCGTACCTAAAATTAAGAAGGTACTTACAGCAACTAAATAAATGAATATTATGTCCCTGTCTGTACATATTATATCTCTACCTGCAAACAAATGAAAACTAAAACTATACTCAATCTAGGAACGACTTTTACCCTTTTGTATTAGGTGTTATGATTTTTCTATAAAGAAATTCTCAACAGCCTGGAGTACTTTACCCCTATACCTCAAAAAGAACGTAAAGTCTGATCTCTCTATGTTCGAGTCGGATTATCGCTCCATCGGACTATGAGAATGGGGGACTAGTAAGTACATTTGTATCCTGCACACACACTCGTGAATCATAATCCTGCCCTGCACCATTAAAGTATAATATACGTCTTTGGTACTTACGTACGTACTACAGTGCTCTTTATCGAAAGGTTCTTATATAATATCTAAATGTGATGCATACATTGCCACCTCTTTTGATACTTGCCACCATTGAGTAATCCATATAAATCAATGCTTGCCACCATGACCGAAATTTGACCTAGTGGACATTACTGGTGTTGATGGGTATGTTGAAAACAGTAAGCAATTAAACAAAAACAAAAAATTTGTATAGTAAAGTACTTAAAATAATTATATGACGCATTTCACAATGTTTTACATTTTAATTTTAGATTTTCAAAAAATGAAATAAAAACATACTTCATTATTTTAATCCAAAAGAATTCACATTAAAAGAGTTCTAATGTAATCTAGGAATGTAATAAAAAGAATCTATCAATTTCCTTTTATTATTACTTAGGCATCGACTCAAAAAGAATTTTGGAAAATTTAAACTATTAGAGGGTGAATAATGGTGTTTCTGTTTTTATGGAACTTTTTTTACTAGGCGATTTCGTATTTAGATATAGGAATCAATAGATTTCTCCTTATTTATCATTCATCACATACATATAATAAACATGCAGGTGATCGACGGACGCAGTTTCTTCGAAGTTATGGTGGTGGAAACCCTTTTCTGCCTAGCCTCTTACCAATTGTTTGCCACCAAGTAGGCGTGTTTGTATTGCTGTGACTCGGTCTGAAGGGTATAGAGAACCAGTACAATCACAGGCTGTGAGGCATTCCATCTTAGTCCTCAGAGGTAACGCATAGGTAGCCTTGGTTGTTTCAAGATGGTTGCAGATGTCCATAGACTGCAGAAGCCACTTACAATCGGGTGGACCGTAAGTTCATTTGTTACTTTATTTTTATAAAAGAGCATGGTGGTGTGTATGAAGCCGGCTCATATTTAGCAGTGAATTAATGATGATGTGAAGGAAATATTTCTAAATTTGTATATCCTTCTAATTGGCATTTAATTTTAGTCATAATAGATGACATTTCGACTGTTAGTTTAGCACACATGTATATGTTTATGTGCTACAGCATCCATTTACCATCAGGTGGACTTTTGAAGTACCTTACTTACACATACCGCAGCAGGACATAGGCCTGCTATTTTGCATGTTATATAAACTCTCATGCCCATGTGATCCAGAAGGTGAGGAGAGACCATAGACAAAATTCAAGTTCATTGTCCATAGTCCAAGTATATCTACCCACACATCTCCTTCAGTTAAGGGTAATATTATTTTTGTCCAAATTCATTATATAGGCAATTTGGTCGATAAATTTCCGTTGAGGGTGCGACTCACTTCAGCAGCGTAAATTTGTCTTGTCACTGTTTCCTAATTCTTTCTACGTGTCCGAACCACCGAAGCATTCTTTTCTTAATCCTGATCACATGTACTTGTAAAGCGCACTTCTCTCATTGCTGTAAGTGTTTTAGGGCAAGGAAAAATCTGCCGAGTAGACTAAATGATTTCTGCCAGCTTTAAATATCGATTTTCTAATTTCTCTGATCGATCATTATTTAAGTAAGCGGTTTCATTGTAGTCAGATAATTGGTAAAATGAAAATAGTTTTTTTCTTGTAATCATGTAAGTAGTTATAGGAACATAATAAACTTTTTTATAAAAATTAAATAAAACTACCAGATAGATGGCTATACACTCAAATTATCGAAAATAAAGTGGAAGATAATGGTTCAGAAAGACTAATTTTTATTCATTTTCAGGCAGTAGTTTATTCCTTTCCTACTCGTAGACAATCCCAGCTTCAGAGAACAGACGCTCTGAATAATAAATATTACTTCCTTTCCGACCAAATGCTTTTTACAAATTTTTTTACAAATTTTTAAAAATTTAATTAAATTTTAATTTTTTTTTACAAATTTGCTTGTTATTCGGCTATTCGGCCAGACAGTCTGTCAGTCAGTCCAAATATTTGGCATGTGGTCGAATATACTATTCATTGCAAGTCTAGAGTAGGTGTACATGTAAAATCAGCACTTGAAATTGCAACTTACAATCTAATTGGTGCCGGCATAGATCGAACTCTGCTCGCGTAGAGGACTGGCAGGTGGATTGGCAACTGCAGTTTTTCATTATGTCAAGTTGTTATCAGGAATATGCATTTTCTCACGTGGTAGTGCCGTTATACAGCCATATTAGTAATATAGTTGTCACAAATCACATCACACATGAGCACGAATGGGTCGACTAGACCGGTGAAGGACCACGCTCTCACAGAATACCAGCGTAAAATAGCAGCTCAACGCTGCTGTGTTTCGTGTAGTGAGTGTTGAGAACCGGAAACCTATTTTACTGGAAACGAGGCATTCCATCTTAGTCCTCACGGGTGACCACGCACTTGCATTTTGATTCGTAATCAAGAATAGATGTAGATGTCTATGGGCCCTAGCATCCACTTACAATCAGGTGGACTGTGTGCTCGTTTGTCAAGCTTATCCTATAAAAAAAGTTGCTGTACATCTCCTGTTTTCTGCTCTCGGGTCTTACGACACCCACTGGAGCATATAAGGTAGCCGATATTCTTCCATTGCATATATATATTAATTGTCATGTCCATATAAAATATTTTATTTTTATTAGTTCAGTTACTTACAGTACAAGCATCCTTGTGTGCTGTTGCTGGGTAACCAGCACACATCATAACATCCCTTATCTTTGACTCGTTATAGTTCGTGTTCCGACACTCCTCGTTAGTGAGAACTGGAAGCTGTGCCTCAAGAAGTGTGCACGACCAATTCCCTGTTTCCGCTTTAGCTCCCCAGCCCGCCACAGTGGCTAGCGTTCCGTGGTACAGATTTTCTGAAATATACAATCAGATTAAAACAAACCACGTTACTTAATAATATTTTTATAGTTATTTTTGTAATTAATTGATTGTAATACTTTTTGTAATATTAGCACATAGTAACTTACTACTACTTTACATCTGCTGATGAGTGGTTACTGCAGCCCATGGACACTAGCGACGTGTCAAAAAGTTTCCAAAAAGGTTCAAAAAGGCCACAAGCTTAAAAAAAGGCCGCAGTCGCGTTCTTACCCTTACAGAGTGGCTCATAGTGTGTAATTATAAACGTAAAGAAACCTTAGAAAGTAATGTTTAATTTTTCATTATAATGTCCTCCAGCCGTGGTAGCTCAGATGGTTAACCCTCGCTGTAAATATAACAGAACGCGATTAACCCGGGTTCGAACCCCGCCGGCACCAATGAAATTGTTAATTGCAATTTTAAGTGCTGATTTACCACGTGCTCGGCGGTGAAGGAAAACATCGTGAGGAAACCTGCATGTCTCAGGAATAACAAAAAAAATATTTCGAAGACATGTGAAGTTCGCCAACACGCATTGGGGCAGCGCGGCGGACACTTCCTTACCCTAAAACCCCCTCAGAAATGAGGGGAGACCTGTGCCCAGCAGTGGAACGTATATAGGCTGTAACTTTACTTTTTTTACTTTAATGTCCTCCAGACCGAATTGCGACCACGGCGTCCAGACTCAACGGAGGCTAACCAACGACGCAGGACAGGATTATAGTGCCCAAGTGTATGCGCAAGCACAGGTGCACTCTCTATTTCCTCACTCTCATAATCCAATGGGACGGTAAACCGACACGACCGGAGAGAGATCAGGGGCAGGACCAACGTAAAGCCTTACATGCTTTCCGAGGCACGGAGGTGAGACACCGCCAACTTCCTGACTCCGGGCAACTACTGAGTAGGAATTTTTTGGCCCGACCCGGGATTTGAACCCAGGACCTCATGATCAGCAGTCGCACTACTACTAAATTTAATGAGAGATTTATTCGCGTCTAACCATGACGAATAATCGAGTTGATTAGTAAATAAAACAGTCGATAAAAAGCGTTGATTATTATCTTATCAATAAATATCGATACACACTTTGTTTGTGCTTTGGCTTATGCTCCAACGCTTAAAAAACAGCAAGGTCCCAAGGGCGAGGATGGAATCACAGCGGAGCTTCCGAAAGCGGGTGGAAAACCAGTACTTGAAGTCATTCAAAAGTTCTTTAATTCCGTCCTCCAAGTTGGCACTACTCTGGAGGCGTGGACCAGAAGTGCGGTGGTCTTGTTCTTCAAGAAAGGCGAAAAACGCTCTGTTGAAGAATAATCGACCGGTTTCCCATCTGAAACGTGTCTATCTGATGTTTGCGAGAGTCATTACGATACTCGTATAATCTCGCACGCAGACTCGACCACTTCCAGCCTCCCGAAGAAGCAGGTTTCAGAAAAGGCTTTAGTATATATAGATAGATATACTATAGATCACATACATACCCTTCAGATATTTGTAGTACATAAGACCGAAAACTACAATCTGCCACTTAATTTTACGTATGTGGACTATGAAAAAGCCTCTGATCCCGTCGATATTTAGGCAGTGCTAAAATCCCTTCAGCGGTGTCGAGTTGACTGTCGGTATATCGAAGTGCTGAAGTGTTTGTACAGTTAGGTGGCTATCCGAGAACAGAACCAGAGTACCAAAACTATAAAACTGCAGAGAGATGAATGACAGGGTGACGTTTTATCCCCAAAACTCTTCACTACTATATTGGAAGACGTTTTTAAGTCCAGTAGGACTGGAACGTTACGGTATTAACATCAATGGCGAGTACAACATGTACCTTCGATTTTCCGACGGTAAAGTTCTTATAGCAGAATCACTGGAGGACCTAAGCACTATGCTCAATAGTGTGTCCTAACGGATAGGTCTTAAGGTGAACATGGACAAACAACGGTCACGTGTAATAACGTCCATGTTACACCTATGCCGCTTTTTTTTCGGAGCACTACGCCTGAAGTTGTTGACGAGTATATTTATCTGGAACAAATAGTCCGACTAGGCAAGATCTTCTTCTAACAACAAAATCTGTATTCCTGTTCATTTCACTGAATTCTATGGTAAATCTTTTACAGTTCAGGCTACACACAGTTTAGTTTTACAGGTCTGAGACGGGGTCGCTGACCTGTAAAACGGGGTCCTGCACCTGGGGTGTGCAGAATTGCCCTCTCTTTAGCTCGCTAAAGAGAGGGCAATTCTCTGGGTTTCTCTGCATGATAGAATATGAAGATATCCGCAGTAGAGTCAGAGTAACTGAACCCTACGGATCAGTAAGCTGAAGCTGGAGTTGGCCGGCCATATAGTTCGAAGAACCAACAACCAATGGGGAAGAAATCTCCTTGAGTGGTAACTTCGTACCGGTGAGTGAAGTTTAGGGTGGCACCCCATTAGATGGAATGACGACCTGGTCATCGATGAAGGATGTCAATGGATTCAGGAGTTTCGGGACCATGCTTTGTGGCATTCAACAGTGGACTTAAGCAGGGCTGTAATGATGATGATGATGACTGGTATATAAACTTGTAAATTAATTTGTAACTACAATTTTTCAAATTCTGATTTTGTTTTTATAATTACATTTAAAATTCCAGCAACAGCTCTTTTTAAAGTATGAAGCCATTCAACATTACAAAATCCCTTGTATCCTCTATACAATTTATACCTTTAACTCTCAAGCAAAATAGGACATAAATTATTTTAATGTTTTCATTAAGCAGGAAATTCATTTTAACGTAATAAAAATCGTAAGGTTGAATGTAAATGTATAACTCGCAGATGATCCAAAAAAGGAAAAAGGGTTCTAAAACGAAATTAAGCTAAATTGGATCTCTGGCAGTAAAACGCATCATTATTTATATAATTGTCATTATTTTTGGGGTATCTATATAATTTTCTCATCTGTTTGGGTTCTATAAATATATAATTTTAAGTTAAAATGAAAAGATAAATATACATAAATATCAATAAAATAAAATAAATACAAAAAATACATAAATAAATATGATCCAACCAGATGGAAGCCCTCGGCAGGGGAGACCAAACGGCCGAGGGTTAGGAGGAAAGGGAAAGAAACCGGCGGACGATGCGCGCGGTATCGAGGAGCACCGCCTTCAGCATTTGAGCTCGGAGCGGTCCGTCACGGAGTCCCAGTCACCTCAGATGACCCGAGAGGCTGACTGGGATTAGCCCATTCGCAGAGACGACTACAGGAATAATTTCGGCCGGCAGACCACCCCACATGTCGGTTACCTCGTGAGCCAGGTCCAGATATTTTGTTCGTTTATCTGTTTCGGCTTTCACGAGGTTCTCGTCATACGGAATGGTAATGTCGATCAAAAATATCCTTGACTGTGCCCGGTCCATCAGCACAATATCAGGCTTATTCGCAAGAATAGTCCTGTCTGTGATGATGGCCCGGTCATTTTCGAGCACGGCTTCCGGCAAGTACATGTAATACGGCAATTTCCGGTCCACGAGACCGTATTTCAGAGCGAGCTCCTGGTGTAGAATTCTGGCTACTAGGTTGTGCCTGTGCAAGTACTCAGAGTTCGAAAGCGCCGAACAACCGGAGATGCTGTGTGTGATGTGCCATCCTTTAGGATGTATCTCCGATAGTTCTTGGTCTTAATAACCTGATCCTGTATTGCATAGACAAAACCCTCGGTTTCCCCGAAAAGGTCACCGAAACGTAGCCAGTTGAGGGAGGCGACTGTATCTACGAAGGGCTCATGTAGAGCCCTGTAGTACCTCCCGTGGAGCTCCTTCTCCTTCCATACGGTCTCCCGATCGGAAATGCTTTGTACTGCCGGGTCTTGCCATTGCTCGTTGGCTAAGGACAGAGGGGTAAGCCCTTTATCACTAGAAATGATGTCAACATAGAATGGATCATCCGATCTCGCCAGGATGTAATCACGGAGGCTGCACACTTCGCGATTATGAACGCTCAGGAAGCCACGCCAACACGCTTTCGCGGTAAGTACAGCCTCATTACCGACGCTCTCGGATGATGCATCCTAAGGGATGTCATGGTAGTGCGGACTTTTCTATCCAGGGCGTTAAGTTCAGTCTGAGTCCACCTGAGTATTCCAAAGGTATACATGAGGACAGGCATGACCCAGCCGTTATATGCGTGTGCCTTATTCACACCGGACAAAAGGCTGTTAAGCACTTTGGTCAAGCGTGCATAAGACATGTCGCAAACTGACCGTTTCATACCAGCCTCATCGATACCGATGTTTTGTGACATACCCAGGTATCGGTATGTTTCAGCCTCGGAAAGTACTACAGGGGTTCGCTAGTACACTCCCTTGTACAGGGGTTCTTAAGTTGACGGGCATAGATAAGTCTATGCCCTCAGAGTTAGCAACCCTTCCCCTTTCAATATGGAGGACCGCACACTTATCCGTCCCCAGCTCCATTCCAATAGAATTGCTAAATTGCACAAGTGATGTTTATCAATTCCATAAGATGGGAGCGACTGGAGGCGAATTATTTGAGGTCATCCATATAGAAAAGGTGGGTCACTTTTGTAACTCCTTTCCGAAGCTGAAATCCCCTCCCGGAGCCCTCCAGTAAAGTACTGAGAGGGTTCAAAGAGAGGCAGAACCAGATTGGACTCAAACAGTCGCCCTGGAATATACCCCTTCTTATCCTTATGCGGCTTTCCACAGCCATCATCCGCTCGCCTAGATAACAGAGGATCGTCATTATTATTATAGCATTCATACAGCAATCACAAATCCACTGCAAAAATATGCCCCTCATACAAACTGCCACAAAGCACGGGCCTGATCCATCTTCATATATTAACACCATGGAGGTTTTTTTTTTTACGGGAGAGTTGTCGGGTGAATCCAATGAGTGGTCGCTCAATACTGCGCTTGCCAACAGAACGCTACTGCTCAAAAACCATTGAGTTATACAAAACAAATAAATCAATGTCAAA